CACAGATCCACTTTGGTACTAATTTACTGAATCTGAATAATCAAATCAGGGATCAGCCTTGGCTGAGAGATGTTCTGTGGAAGGAAGAGCTAAACAGGCAAGGATCTGTCTTCATTTAGAGTAGAGATAAAGACAGAGGCCTATATATATGGGTAGTGTATACATACGCCTACTTATACTGTGTATATACATATGCACACACACGTTGTATATGTGTATAAACCGTTGAGTCAAAACGTGTATATCATCAAGTCAGAACTGACTCATAGCTGACACTCCAGTGAGTGTTCAAAGACAGACAGTCGCACAGAGATCATCCATCTTTCTCCCTTGGAGCAGGTGGTGAATTTGAAATGCATGCCATTGGCTTGGCAGCTCAGCTCCTTTCTCCTAAGCAACCAGAGCTCCATCGCATATACAGATACAGAGATGGACATAGATATCCACACAGACATATGTGCACATATGTAGATAAGCTATTCTGTGCATTTGAGAAGGGAAGGGACCTAGACTTGGGATAAAACAACACAAGTATCAGTTGAAGCTTTCTTCTAAAATAGAGCTGTTGGATTTGGTGATGGGTGAAAAATAAAAGAGAAAAGGGGACAGAAGAGAAATGTTACTGGATTTTAAATATGAGTGACTAAAAAAAAAAAAATATGAGTGACTATGAGAAGGGGGTGGAAGAGAAATGTTACTGGGTTTTAAATATGAGTGACTATGAGGAGGTTGGAACATTGGACCAGAAAGGTGGATTTGTTAGGGAATGGAGAGTGGGGACAAGTGATGGGGGAATTTAGTTTATGCAGTTATGTGCAGATTAGAAGTTCACTTATGGTCCTCCTAATTTCAAGGTAGCTGCTGCTAGGTGCTGTCGAGTTAGTTCCTTAGACATAGTGACTCTGTGTGACCAAGTAGGGTTTTCTAGTCTGTAACCTTTACAGAAACAGAGTGCCAGGTCTTTCTCTTGCAGAGCCACTGCATATGTTTAACCCTCCAATTTTTCTAGCAACCTATCACTTAGTTGTTGTGTCACAAGAGCTTCTTCCAAATGGAGGTGAACCGCAGGTGGTCAGGGACACAAGGAAAAAGTCAAGTAAGTCAAAGGAGGTAGGGATTGGAGAAATATCTGCATAGAGGTCTATGTGGGGGATGACCACAGTCCATCAGCTGAGGATTCATATAGATGAAGCGGAAGTCTCTAGGACAGGGCTCTAAGGGGAAAGACCCAGTGACGGACTGTAGGAAGGCAGAAAGTGCTCAGAAGAAATGAATAGGTTCCAATCGGAGGAGAACGAGGAGAATAAGGCTTCAAAGAGCCTGTTAAAAACCCTACGTCCAAAATATTATTCAGTGACAAGAAGATATTCATGATATATTCATTGAAAACTTTTGCCAACTTATGTCAGTACATGCAAGGTTCAGACTTATTGTTCATAGAGTCACTGAGTCATAGTCAACTTAATGGTACCTAACAGTGACAACAAATTTTTGTATAGCATTCTGGTTATGTGTACATAGAGTGAGATTTATAATGTGTATCTCCATGGAGGAAAATTTGGAGTGATCTTCCTAAAAGGAATGCTCTCATTTAATCTTAAAGGAAAGGACAATTTAAAATATTATCATATCTGTATCTTTCAGACTCTATTATATTCTTACTATTAAAAAATGCTATATTTCTGTAGCAGTTAGAAAAAGAAAAAGTAACTTGTGGGTTATATATGTCATTTAATTCCCACAAAAATCTCATAGAGTAACCAACATGAACCCCTGTCACAGATGAAGAAAACCTAACTTGAAAGAGATGGAGGGACTTGCCTTTATCAAACAGTACATGACAGAACCATGATTCCAGTCTGATGTGTTTGTTTGTTTGCCTCTGGGTTTTTTGTCTGGTTGTTTGCTCTTTCCCCCCCTTTTTTTTAAGTCACAAAATATATATTCATAACCAATTAAAATACTACTTCAAAGAAAAGACTGAAGAGTTAGGGAAGTTTTTAGCTGTGCAAATTTCACATAAGAAAAACCACACTAAAACAACAAAACATATTTGACAAGAAAGAAGTTACCCGTGCCATTCAAAAGTAAAGTCTCTAAGAATTAAAAAAATAATTCTCTCTAGATGAGCAGGAGACTTGTGGTTGAGAAATGGAGATGTGTCTAGAATATTTGATAAGAAGTTTGGTAGTTCACCATTCAAGATGGACCATTCAAGATTATGATATGGTAACAAAACAGCACCATAATCTCAAGGAGTAGCCTCCTAAGGGTTTACTTCTTACTTATCTGATGTAGGTTGTCATTGGACTTTGCTGTTATCATTCAAGGACTCATATAAACGCGGAGGTATCATCCTGAACAAGTCTTCTGCTGTTAGCATGCCAGGGGAAAGGAGAAGGTTGGCATTAAGCACTAGTATCTAAATGGTTCTGCCTAGACATAGCTGTCTGTTGACGGGTCTAAGATACACCCAACTTAAAAGATGTGCCAATAAGGTGTAGAGAAATGTTGTAGACCATGCTAATGGCCACTGCATCTGGGAATGCCTTTATTGCTTTTTAACGCCCCTGTTCTTGTAGCAAAGAAAGTTGTTTTCAGAGTTCTAGAATATTAAAGAAAGGAGGGACCATGGTATTAATCTGTGCAGTCCCACCGGTTTACAGATATGGAAATGGTGATACCAGGAGTAAACTATTTGCACAAAGTTACAGAAAGAAACAGTGGTCATGCTAAGCCTAGGATGTGGCATCTCAATGCATCGAGTGCTCAAGAAGACACTACTCACTCAGCAGGATCCCAGGATTTGAGAGGAGTGAGGACTTGTGGAGGACTTCTTAGAACCTGGTGATCTATTTGCAGACTGTGCTTCCAGGGTTCTGAGCTGTCTTACCTGTTACTAAGCACTATCAACACTGGAAGTTAATAACACATTCATCAGTAAAATACTTGTGCAGCTTTCCTTAGGTGCTAGATCTCTCTATGTAGTTATGTCTTAAACAATGAGGACAGCCTGTAAAGTCATTGAATCACTATTCTAAAGTATAATTGTTAAAGCTGGGCCAATGCTAATAAGCTAGGTGATGTGGGCTGCAAGCAGACAAACTTAGAACTTGTGAATCCCGTTGAGTAGCTCTGTATTTATAAATTACAGGCAGTTTAGGTTCAATGAAAGAAATTCCTAGAGATTCTCTTCTCTGAGATCAGTAGCATATCTAAAATAAAAATCGAGTGTGGAAAAAGTTGGTCCTGAGGACATAGGACACCCCATATAGAAGACCAAACTGTATCTACACTGGTACTTGGGATGGTCACTATGCTAATCTTTTTTGGACAGTTGCTGTTAAGGGGTTTACAGTTCAAACACACTCAGCAACTTCAGAAAAGGAAGTTCAGACCAGTCAGCAACTTCAGAGGAGAATGACCTACAATCTGATTTCATAAAGATTACAAGCAAGAAAACCCTAAAGATCAATTTCTGTACTGAGTCAGAATCAACTTGATGGCATTGGTTTTGATTACAGTTTTTTATTGAGTGCATCAGATAGGAAGAGAAAAAAACTCTGCTTCCGTTTCATTCGGTATCACTTCTTAGAATAGCTTTGACTTACACTGGTGATATTCTAGGAATTCATTTGGCTTACTAACAACTGAATGGCTTTTAATAATGTCATGTATTATTTGTAACATTAGCAGAAAAAAATGTTTACTATTTTGCAGTTAAACAAGTGTGGATTTGTGTCTTTAACAAGTTATTCTTTCTCTCCCTTGCTTTTTAAACGCTCTCAGTTTTTCCCTTTTATTTACTTTATATGACCAGTAGATTTCTTCTTTTATCAGGACAAAATGGAAAGGCTTATGAATTTTAAAAGCATATAATTTACCTTGGATGTGAACTATAATGCTTATTCTGAATAAATTCCATCCACAACTGTGTAAATTGTGTAGAAAGTCTTTATGAATTGGAACTTAGCATGTCACTGACACATTCTGAAGGGTGTCTGGTTGACTTTCATGATGGATGAACCCATCCTGCCAAGTTCAGCTGGAAGGGGTAACTTAGAAACTCAAACATCAGCAGTGGAATCTAGAAACTTCCTGGAACCACGGTTTTGAATCAGCAGGGTGAATGCAGCCCGCATCTGTGTGAGGGATGGCATTTCACCAAGTTACTCCACGGAAGTCTTTGGAACTGGATCATAAACACCAGCCCTCTTTGTTGTGCACTGACGTTTAAAGGCCCCCAATGGTTTGGGGTGGGTTAAGCCCTTCTCATGGTGCTCTGGTCCAATTTTTTTGGGGGGGTAGGGGGAGACCTGGCTGAAAACCCAGGTTATTTGATAGTCTGGCATATTTCTATGGTGTATTAGCACCCTATAAAAGTTACATGTCATTTATTTCAAGTTTAGAGCCCTCTCAAACTTAAGGGGCAAACCAAACTTGAACCTCTTGTGGCTGGAATTGTGTTTATCTTTGGCCAAACCTTGTTTCCTGAGCCTACGGCAGGGAGGTAAGCTGAGAGGGGACTCCTGTGGCCCCTTGGACATCAAGTCACTGTTCTCAAAGAAGGTTTTGATAGGTCAAAATGTGAATGGATCTGAAACACATAGATTGCATGCCTGTCTGGGTGCTCAGGGTCCTGTGAACAATAGCCATTTGTGTCAGGCATAATGAGTGTTGAGTGTTGCCTTCCACCAACTGTGAGGAAGAAGATGAGATTTTTGCCAAATACAGGTTGAAACTGGGTCATTCAGACACCACTTCCTTCTGATGAGTGTGTATCAAATGGTTTCTAGAAAAATGATCAGATAATTCCATTGGATGATGACCTTGGAGAAATGTGGACATTGCTTGTGGTTTTGACATTCATTTTAATCAGGGACAAAGAAAGGACAGGTTCTGTGATCCTGTCATGTTTATTGGTAGAATAGGCTAGCAAGGAATGGCTTGCAGTGACATGGAAAAGAAATAACAGAATGAGTTGCATGCATGCCTTTCAGATAGAAGAACTGATGAATGCACTGGACAAGACCAGACAAGAGTTAGATGCCACCAAAGCACGCCTTGCCTCCACACAGCAGTCCCTGGCTGAGAAGGAAGCCCATCTGGCCAATCTCCGGATAGAGAGAAGGAAGCAGCTGGAGGAGATCTTGGAGATGAAGTGAGTATCCATTGTAGCGCTCCTTGTTTCTCTCTTCCATCCTCCCTGTGGTTGTGCTAATGGGAAGGAAGAGCCCAAGAAAGGGTGACTTAGCCAACACCTGACTAGTCATCTCCACAAGTATGTGGCTTATTTCTTTAATAGAATTTTACTGACCCAATGCACACAGTATTCTACATTTGTCTTGTTTTGTTTTTAAATGGCCAGCATCAGGTTTTGGGTGTCTGCATTTTGCACCCAGCCATGGTATTCCTTGATCTGTTGCAAAAGTCCGAGCTGGCCAAGAGGCAGAGGCCTCGTTAAGAAGCCCATTGGTAATCTGAGCAGTGCTCAGAGGTAACTGGAAACCATTTCTGAGGAAGTGTTCCTTAATTGTGACTATAACTTTGCTAATTATATTTTTTTCACTTGTGCACAATGCCTGGTTTGTGCTGGCTTTCTCGGAGCCTCAAAGTTGGGACGTCTTTGTTGAGAGAAAAGTTCTCCAATTAAAATAAGCTTGGAACTCCACCCAGGATAAGGCAGGTAAAGGGGAATCTTGGAACCAATGACTTTCTCTACTTAATCAATGAAAGGATGGTGGCTGGGTGCTGAGAAATGGTCCTTCCTGTGGTTCTATGATGCGTCCACACTCACCTATCCTGTATTACATTCAAAAAATGAAATCATATTATGGAAGAGTATAGGAAAGAAAATAACAATGGTTCTAGAAATAATAACTGTGCATCTTTTTCAAAAGAACTAGGCAACTAGCTCTAGAAGCGGCATTTTCTCTCTAAAAGTTATGAAATGAAATAATCACTGAGATATAATTTAAGTCCAACTTCCTTCCACAATAAGGGGAAATGTACATAATTGTGGTCTCTTAAGCCTGTAACAGAGACTTTGAAATCGCAGCTAAGTATGGCAGAGTGACCTTGTCCTGACCCAGCAAGTCTTACACATGGTTACCATTAAACCAAGACGCTTAGATCATGGAAAATATGGAACGAAGTATTTTGGAGGATTTCATAATGAGGACAAAAATTTTATTCCTTGTTGGCTACCTCAGTTTCTCCAAGACCAGAGAAGAAGTCATTTCACTCACATATAAACTTCTGTATTTTCTAATAAGAGGTTTTACCATTAAAAACAAAAAATTATATCCTCCATTTAGAGGTGAAAGAATGGAGATTTCAAGCACTTTGCTTCAGATTGCCGTCTATGCTTCAATCCAGCATCTCCCTCTCTGGCTCTCTTTCTCCCACCTCATGTCCTCATGGAACTCGTGTGAGCTCCAGGAGTGAACGGGTATTTCTTTGAGTCACTAGGGTAGTCACCCTGCCTCAGCTGGTCGTAAGTACTCATAGCTTGTTGAACAGATGGCTAGGTTCAATGCTACAAGTTGAATTTTTATCTAGCAAACAAAGAAAATATCTTACATGCCCATAGCCGTGACATCATTACCTTGATGAGTTATCATTAATGTATTTCCAGAAATACAATACTGGTGCATTGTTGCCTCCAGCCCTTATTTTCTGTTTGCCTAACCCTCCATTACCTCATTGTTTAGGGGTGCATGCCAGCTGTTCACAGGTTAACTCTACATCTCCTGAAGTGATTTATTATTGTCATTACACAGGAACATTCATTGCTTCCTGTTTATAAAAAGAGTCTATACTTTCATCATTTTGAGAAGACAAAGCAATGATGGTAGAACATGCTACTTTGGGGGCCATTGGACCCGCACTGGATGCTTGTTGCTTCCCTTTGGTGTTTGTGCAAGTGGCGGAAAGTCACCCTAATCTGCTGACCCTCCAGTCTCCTCTTGAACCAATGTGTGTGTGGGTTATTGTGAGGAGAGGCACTCAGCAGAGAGCTTGGCCCAGGGAAGATGATGTATCAGCCAATGAAAATATGTCATTGTTTAGTATACTTTGTGAAGAGTATCATTTATCTAAAATTTTGATTTATTTTTCTAAATCATATAAGCCTTTTTTCATGTGTATGTGTTCCTACTTAATTTCATGATTTCAGATAGTACCTAACTTCAAACCCCTTTTGGTAAATTGCCACATATTGCTGAAGTGCTTAATCGGCTGTCACTGCAAAATAAATACAAAATTCCTGTCAGTTGCTTTGGTAAAAGGTAACAAAGCCCCGCTTCATTAAACTCAATCTGGGCCCCATTCACTCTTTAACTGGTCCTGGAGCCTCAGTTTATGGGCTCCTTCTGTGGGACCGTGGGGGACACAGGTACAGGGGCATTGTATAGCCAGAAATCCCTATTAGCATTGTCAGCCTCCTGAGACATCCAAGCTAACTCATAGATTTGAGTGATCTTGATTTGTAAGTGATTGGATCCATCAGTGAATCACCCATCTTGATTTTCAGTGATCTGTATTCGTGGTTACTCAGCATTGACTGCGTCAGCATTGTTATTGGAAACATTTGGATACGTAATCTCATTGTCAGTATTTATTATCTTGTGTCAAGTATTGTCAGTTGTTCATTCAGCTGACAGGTGTCATGCAAATGTCCCTACGTCAGATTTGCCCAATGTCTTAGTTATCTAGTGCTGCTGTAACACAAATACCGCGAGTGAGTGGCTTGCAAGAAGAGAATTTCCCCCTCCTCACTGCTCAGGATGCTAGACGTCCTAGTTCAGGATGTCAGGTCTCGCTCGCTCCCTCGCTGTTGACTCTGGGTGAAAATCCTTATTCTTTCCAGCTTCTGCAGCCACTGTGTTCCTGATTCTTTCAATCACATGATGTCGATCTTCTCCATTTCTGCTTGTGTACTCTGTTCTTTAAAACTCAGACATGATTAGGTTTAAGACCTACTCTACACTGATAGGTCATCATTAATATAACAAGGGCACCCATCTTCACAGACAAGATTATGTCCTCTGGTAAAAGGGTTAGGATTCCAAGCTCTATTTTGAGAAAACATAAGTCTCTCTATGACTTTTAATTTCTATAATAGGAAAAGAGAGGCTGTGTGGTGTCAGAAAAGATAGGAACAGGGCCATGGATCAAGTTAAATGAGATGGGATGCTATTTTCCACGTACCTTAAGACATTACAGGAGCCTCCTTTCTGCTTAAAGCATTTGACTGGTGACCAAAAGGTTAGTTGTTCAAATTCACCACCCAACCCATAGGATAAAGATGAAAGACTTTGCTCTAATAAAGATTTTTCAGCCGTGGCTGTCCTGCAGATAATGTCCAACAGCTCATTCTGAGTCAGACTCAACCTGATAGCAGGGATTAACCCTTTACTCCCTCAGTCTTCTCTTCAGTGCCATGAGACAGAAAGAACATAAACCAGTATGTATGAAAGTTCTTTGAGACAGAAAAGAAAATTTTAAAAAGAGATTCATCTGTTTAACTTGTTGCAAAATCAAATGGAACTTACATCCACTTGCACAATCAATAGAAGTAAGTTTTAGAATTGCAGGGCGACAGTGTCCAACTTTCTTATCAAATAAGCTGATTCCTTTCCTCAGAATTCTCAAAAAACCCTCATTGCTGCCTCATCCAATGTAATTCACCACCTCAGAAATCCAACAGAGGGTCAGTTATAAGAGGGTTCCATTAGGAGACTCTGGTGATACAAATAGTTAAGCACTCAACTACTAATCCAAAAAGGAGGCCTAAAGAACCTCAGAAGAAAGGTCTGACAATCTGTGTCCAAATGTCACAATATTGAAAGCTCTATGGATTGCAATTCTGTTCCACACTTATGAGGCCACATATTTTGGAATCAACAGAAAAACAATGGGATTATTGTGTTTGTTTGGGTTTGTGCTTTGGTTTTGTTTTTATTGTTTTTAGATTCTGTTTTATTGAGATATCATAATTTTTGGTCTTTTCCTTGTTGAACTATATTTTGATAGTTTCTAATTTTTACAGTTGAGAAGAAAACATCAATGATCATTTGTGTAAAATTTATGCCAATATGTTCTTATTCCTCATGAATAAATTTTCAAGAATATATTCCAAGATCAAATAACGAATAAATATATCAAACTATACTATTATACACTTCATCAGCAATGCATAAAAATTGTTGCATATTTTTAAAAAACCAACCAAACAAAAAAGCCCTCATTGCCGCAGAGTTGGAACCAATTCATAGCCAACCCCACAGTGGGTTTTCAGAGGCTGTAAATCACAGGAAAGGAGACTGTTCCTCTGGCTCCTGCAGCCACTGGGAGATTGAAACCACCAAAGCGGCACCACCTTGGGTGAGCCATGCACGCCCAACGACTAGGGCCCCAGAGCTCCTCAATCCATGTAATTACTGGTAAGGAGTTCACCAGGCCCCACTGGACACCATTCCTACTAGAGGCATGGCCTTACAAGGTGGTGCTCTTACAGAAATCAGTCCTTCCTTGTGTTGAACTGAACTACCCTCCTATGTCATTTTACTGCTTAACTTCATTTTGGTTCCAGACCCACACAGCGTTCTCCCTTTTCACAGGAGCGACAACCTTCCAGACATGTGTTTGAGTTATACTTGCTTATTTTAGAAAGTGAAAATGAGGAAATATAGAAAGTAAAATGCAAAAAACAAAATCACCCAGGACCCTATTACCATCCAGGGATCAATTCTGATGGTATTTTGTACCCTTACAAATCCCTTTAATTTTTTTTCACACAAAATTAAATTGTATGTGCATATTTCATAAAGCTTGCTCCTTCTGCTTGCTGAATGGTCAATACTTATCCATGTTACAACTAGAAAATGTTTAAATTAGGGTACTGTCCTATAGACTTACACTATGCCTGAACACCTCTTAATTCATAGTGAATGCTTTTATAAACATTCTGTGATTTCACTTTGTTCCCTTAAGATATTTTAAAATAATTGTAAGTTAATGTGCAGATAGTACTCAAGAGCAGTGGTGTCATTCTGGAGACTAAGGTGTGTCTGGTACAGGCCATAGTCTTTGCAATCACTTGTTATGCATCAGAGAGTTGGGCAATGACTAGGGAGGATAAAAGGAGAATTGATGCCT